ATATATTACTGTTGGTATATACTTTAAACTCATGAAGGGCCCTTTTTAGTTTTCAAGTTCAGTTTTTAAGGGCACAGGATAGAAAAACTTTGGAGAAACTCCTGGAACGTCAAAACCCCATTCCTTGTGTCATGAGTCCAGCTTCCTATCAGTGGTAGATGGGTGTCACACACCCTCTGCTGTGTGCAGACAGATGTTTTGTTACAGTGAGGCTGACTGGTCTATTGTAAGATGTGAACTGCTTACAATATGGTTGTGTCTACCTATAATGCTAGCATACAGAAGCCTGAGGTAGGAAGATTTCAACTTCATCGCCAGCCTAGGCTACATAGAGAGACCTTGTCAAGATTAACAACAAAAAGCCAAGTGTTGTGGTCCATGCTTTTAATCATAGCACTTGAGAATCAGACAGATCACAAGTTCAAGACTAGCCTCGTTGGCATATCTTAATGAGATCTGGAGCAGCTAGGGCTGCATAGTAAGACCTTGTCTTAATATAAAATGAAAGACAGAGAGTTCACAAGTTCAAGACTAGCCTCGTCTACATAACTTAATGAGATCTGGACCAGCTAGGGCTGCATAGTAAGACCCTGTTTTAATATAAAATGAAAGGCAGAGAGTATTTAGAAGTCAGATGTGGTCTGGATCCATACTTGGTCTGAGAGAAACGTCCATGTCCCTCTTTCCTGCAGGGGTGCACTATGTATTTGACACCACAATCGCGGCAGATTTCAGCATCCTGGAGACTCAGAAGGAATTTGTACGCCGGTATCACCGACACAGTGAGGAGCAGCGTGAACTACCCATGTTGACCTCTGCCTGTCCTGGTGAGCACAGGCCTACTGGTACCATTTCCCCAGAACTGTAGAAATAAATGTCCTGGCTTTGGCTAGAAGTCGGCAGGCCCATTCCACTCAGCAGGGCACCTTCTGAACAGGGACGATGTAGAGGAGATGTCTTGGTTCATTCTGGACTGACAGTCTCAGTTAGAAGGCAGGAGGAAGCAGGGGGATCTGACCTCATGTGTTCTCTCTCTAGGTTGGGTCAGATATGCTGAGCGGGTATTGGGCCCCCCAGTCATCCCACATCTCTGCACTGCCAAGTCCCCCCAGCAGGTCATGGGGTCCTTGGTGAAGGATTACTTTGCTAGAAAGCAGGTAAGCCAGTCCTCTCCAGAGAAGAGCAGCAGAGGGTAGACTCAGGGTGGATACAGCCTGAGGGAGAACACTGTACACTCCACGGACAGTGTGGCCCTGGACCTCCCGGTGGAGACACTGCCTGATTGCATCTGTTCTGGGTGCTTCAGAAAGCTAAGCCCCCCCCCCATCCTGACTTTTGCTCTAGGCTACAGATCCCCCCCCTTAGCCTGCCTTTTGGTTTTGTTTGGTTTTGGTTTTTTTTTTTGAGACAGGGACTCTCAATGTAATCCTGGGTGTTCTGGGACTCACTGTATGGATCAGGTTGACATCAGACTCAGAGAGATCTGCAGCCTCTGCCTCCTGAGCACTGAAATTAAAGAAATGTTCTAACACACCTGGTCCTAAATTTTTTTATTTTGAATTTTACTTTTTATTTTATGTGTGTGGGTGTTTTGACTATGTGTTTGTATGTCTATGCACCACTTACATGCCTGGTGCTACAGAGGTCAAAAGATGCTATTAGATCCCCTGGAACTGCAGATACATCTGGTTGTGAGCTACTCTGTGGGTGCTGGAAATTGAACCCAGGTTCTCTGGAAGAGCAGTCAGTCTCCTTGACCACTGAGCCATCTCTCCAGTCCCTGGTCCCATGGTCTTAACACTATCTGTCACATGATAGATAAAACCTAGTCTAGGGTGCCTTCATGTCCCTTGCCTCATCCCATCCCCATCTTGTGTTCCAAGACTTTGGGCAGTTTGAGATAAATCACATCCTTCCTTTCTTTCTTCTTGTTAACCAACTGTTTAAGCATCACACTGACTAGGAAAGACAGCAAGGGGAGGGATCTTCCAAACACTGAAGCCAGCCTAAAGGTTGTATCCATCTGACAACCTCATTTTAGCCATAGGAAATATTTCTTTGTTTATAAACTGTTTATATATAGTTGGCAAATTTCACCCCCCACCATGTGTATTGAGTTCAAGGGACAGAAAATTGGCTATGGATTGGTCTTCATTTCCTTTGCCCTCTATTTTTTTTAAAAAAAAAAATACAGACACACACACACACACACACACACGTTCTATCTGCATGTCTGCCTTCAGGCCAGAAGAGGGCACCGGGTCTATTATAGATGGTTGTGAGCCACCATGTGGTTGCTGGGAATTGAACTCAGGACCTCTGGAAGAGCAGCCAGTGCTTTGAACCTCTGAGCCATCTCTCCAGCTCCCCCTTGCCCTCTTATACCTGCTTTGAGAGTTCTAGCATTTCTAAGTCTTCTCAAAGCTCCCAGCCCTGTGCTCTCTGAGTGGAACCCAAAGTTACAGATCTGATTGCAGGTGCAGGTGGGGACATCTTGGCCTAACCCCCAGAAGGCTAAGATCAAGGTATAGTTCCTCTTGAACTCTGCCCCTACCCTGAGTAGGGCTTTTGTGCTCTGGCCTCAATGTAAAGGTCACTGGGCAACTGGCTCTTGATTTGTCTCGGGAGAGCAGGGTGGCCTAGATGTTGTTCCTTGAACAGCTTCAGAAAGTCTTCAGGTAAAACCTGCTCTTACCTGTGCAGAGCTGGTGGGGTAGTACCGTACATGGGGTAGGGTAGAAGCAGCATTTGCGACTCCCCCATATTCTAGTTGACATCCTTGAAGCTCTAAGTGAGTGCTCTCCTCCACAGAATCTGTCTCCAGAGAAAATTTTCCATGTTGTCGTGGCTCCTTGCTACGATAAGAAGCTGGAAGCTCTTCGGGAGGGACTTTCCACCACTCTGAATGGTGCCAGGGGCACTGACTGTGTGCTGACATCAGGTGAGAGCTGGACTCAGAAAGTGAGCATTCCTCTGACACTGATAATTGGGTTCAGCTGCCTAAAGTGAAGAGGAGGCTCCTGCATCCTGCCTGCCCTCGGTCTTCTTCCAGAGGAGTCAGGTCTCTGGGAGAACGATTGATATGTTCTTACATCACAGCCATCAACATGGTTTCCTGTAGAGGGCAACAAGTGTTTGTGCACACAGACAGCACTGGGGAGGCCAGGAAGGTTAAACACACAAGCATCCTTCAAAGGAAAGAGATGTTTAACTTGTCCTCCTGTAATTCTGGGAGTGGACGTAGTTTACAACCTGTCTGTCGAGCCAGGCTTTGCCCATATCTCCCAGAATTTAGGTTTTACTATTCCAGACCCTTCCCCAATAAATCTTGAGCATTGTTTTGGGCCATAAAACCCATCCTTATGAATGATGTCTTTTGTACAGCCTCAGTGACTTCTATGTTGTCTTAGGGCCAGACCAAATCCTGACTCCAGTGGGCATTATGTCTACATCAGTCATTCATTCTCCTTAGAGCCTGTCCAGGAACTCGCTCCGTAGACCAGGCTGGCCTCGAACTCATAGAGATCCGCCTGCCTCTGCATCCCAAGTGCTGGGATTAAAGGTGTGTGCCACCACCGCCCAGCCTCCTAGACCCTTATCTTTAGCATTGCTTCTGAGTCAACAAGAGACCATTTTAGGGATGAAGCCATATGTGTTTGTAAAGAGCGTCAATGTAAAGCTGTCTTAAGCTTTCTTGTCGTCACAGAGCCAAGTTAATTGTTATCAGAAAACTTTTTTCCCCAAAATTGTGCTGTGCTTAAATATGGGTAAAATAAGTGAGCTGTTGGTCAGACTCTCGAAGTCTTGGCCCAGCACCAGTACCAGGCTGAACTGAGTTTCATCCTTGTCTCTTTGTGGATGCTTCTCTGCCTGCTGTAAAGCCTGTGGAGACCCTCCACACTTTCCCACAAGCGAGGAAGCCAATATACACTGAAAAAAGTGGAAGATTCCTATGTACTCTAGTGAATGCTGCATTTAGTGGCCCTGCTGGCAGCTCTCTTCAGATGCTATGCTTTAGAGCAGTGGTTCTCAACCTATGGGTGGCGACCCCAACTGGGATTACAAATCAGATATCCTGCATATCAGATATCTACAGTATGATTCATAACTGTCGAAAAATTATAGTTACCAAGTAGCAAGGAAAATAATTTTGTGGTTGGGGAGTAACCGCAACATGAGGAACTTTACTAAAGGGGCTAGCGTTAGGAAGGTTGAGAACCACTGCTTCAGAGAGAGACTACAGCACATTCGGTTGGGGATGAAAATCAGCCGCTGAAGTCCTGGAAGCTTTTCAGAAGAAAGGAGGTCAAGAGCGCTTGTGGGAGCTTGTTAGGATCCAGGCTCGTCTGCTTGAATCAGACTCTGAAAGCTGATCCTTGAAGGTGTGTGGACCGGGGTCAACCTTGAAGACCAGGAGCTCTCTTCCTCCCTGTCCTGTCCTGTCCTGTCCTGGGACTCTAGCTTTGACCAGGGTGGGACAGTGCAGCAGGGAGTATTCAATGGTGCTGGTCTAACTTCCCGAGTGGGGTTCCAGTTTCTCTCGAGCACCACATTGAGAACTCAACCTGTGCTGTGTGTTAATGGTGTCTCATGGCACCTGCTGTCTTACTGATGTCTAGGGGACTCTCCCGGGGGGGGGGGGGGGGGGTTTCTTGTTAAGCTGTATATGGAAAGAAAGTGGTATACAAAGTATACTTTTCTGGTAATGTGCAGTGTAGCGTGTCTCAACCTCCAGTGCAGTGTGGCGCATACACAGGCTTTCGCTTTGATTCAGTATGAAGCAGCTACAGCATTACCTCAGGCCAGGGTTCAAAAGAGGATTCTGTTTTCACATCTTTTTAGAGCTTTTCTGATGCCAGCATTACCAGTTCCCGGCAAGGGGCTCCTGAGATATGAAATGGATCATAAAGCAAGGGGGGTCCTAGCTTTCTAATGCAGAATTTCTCTGGGAGAAGCAAAGCCTGGCCCAGAGCTCTGGACCACCTGTCCTTTCAGTGACTCCCGCCTCTTGTTTTCCTCCAGGTGAAATTGCTCAGATAATGGAACAAAGTGACCTCTCTGTGAAGGACACTGCTGTGGATACTTTGTAAGTGGCATCTTTGTAAATGGGGAGGGGCCTCTAGTGAGCTTTGCAGGCCCCAGGCTGCCTTTATCAAATCATGTGAGTACTGAGACAGGTTCCTGCAGTTTTACCAACCTTGCCTTTGCAGTGGATTCTCTAGTACTGCCAGGGGACTTGAGGGCTTACAGTATCCTTCAGGAAGAAAGGAAGCGTAGAAGCTATGTGGGGAAGAGCCACGCATCTAACACTGTGACTTCTTCTGGTCCCTTTGCACCAAGAACACAGCTGTTGGGTTTCTGTTTCCCATGGTGACCCTGATGCCTAGCTAGGACTTTGGATTTCGCTGCACAGAAAAGCAAGGGAGTGAGTCCCAGTGACACAGCCCCACTGCAGTCTTGGGTAGATGTGAAATGACAATTCACGTTGGTCATTAGACCTCATTAAGGATATGCTCTGGGGGGCTGGAGAGGACTCAGTGGGTTAAGAGCGTTTACTGCTTTTCCAGATGATCCAGGTTTGTTTCTCAAGCATCCACATGGTGGCTCCCCAAAGTTTAAATACCTGCAAAGGACTAATCTTTAAGTGGTTCCCTGGATCCTGTTCCTATAAAAACTATAAAAACTACTTTGTCTTAGTCAGGGTTTCTATTGCTGTAATGAAACACCATGACCAAAAAGCAAGTTGGGGGAAAAAGGGCTTATTTGCCTTACACTTCCACATTGCTGCTCATCACTGAAGGAAGCCAGGACAGGAACTCAAACAGGGCAGGAGCTGATGCAGAGGCTATGGAGGGGTGTTGCTCACTGGCTTGCTTCCCCTGGCTTGCCCAGCTTGTTTTCTTATAGAACCTAGTAAGTACCACCATCCCAGGGATGGCACCGCCTACCATGGACTGGACCCATCCCCCATTGATCACTAACAGAAAATGCCTCACAGCTGGATCTCATGGAGGCATTTCCTCAGCTGATGCTCTTTCCTCTCTAATGGCTCTAGCTTGTGTCAAGTTGGCACACGACACTAGCCAGTACGTCATCAGCACCAGTGACGATTTTGTCTTGTCTGTTTGAGGTTTGGAGACATGAAGGAGGTGGCAGTACAGCGTCACGATGGAGTGAGCTCAGATGGGCATCTGGCCCACGTCTTCAGACATGCAGCCAGGGAGTTGTTTGGCGAGCACGTGGAGGAGATCACCTACCGTGCACTGAGGTTTGTGCCGGCTTATCTACAGCTGGGGTGCCCAGGAGGGATGCTGACAGCCAGCCAGAGCGGGGGTGATACAGGCGGCCCATATGCAGTGTGTGTGGTGTGCCTGGTGTACGTGGTGTACATGGCTGCTCCACACGAAAGCCAGCGCTGCCTACGATAGAAGGGCCTTTTGTGAGTCTCCCCACTGAAATTACGTTGGTGACATCTAAGACTTAAATTGAAAAATGGGTCGATATGGTAAACCTCGCACTGGGGAGACTGAGGAAAGATTGTGAGTTCAAGGTTAGCCTGGTCTACATAGCAAGACGGTACTTCAGACAAACAGAAGTGATCTTTAGGTCAATGACCATTAAAATCCATGTTTTGATTTACAGAAACAAAGACTTCCACGAGGTCACCCTTGAGAAGAACGGGGAGGTCTTACTGCGCTTTGCTGCGGCCTACGGCTTTCGCAACATCCAGAACATGATCCTGAAGCTCAGGAAGGGCAAATTCCCGTATCACTTTGTGGAGGTCCTCGCATGTCCCAGAGGTAAGCGGTGCAGCAGGCCCGTAACAGCCTGTCCACAGTAACCACGCAGGGCAGGTTGCTTTCTCATGCGTGGCATGCCATCTTCAGCCATGAAGTTCCCTTCCCTCAACTGTAGCGTGAGAAGTGGACAGCTGTATCCTTAGACATTCCCAGGGACATTCCCGGGGAGCCCCACCCGGTACCAAGGTCACTAATGTGGAGCTGGTCCATAGGGCCCACTGGTGGAAGCTGGCAGCTGGAAAAGACAGACGTCGCTTGCTCCCTAGGAGTTCCCCTTGCTGCACAGGGAAATTAACCATCCAGGTGTAAAGACCAGGGCAGCTGAAGAAAGTTCCTGTCTAGGCGGAGAGACAATGAGAGCAGGCCAGAGCTGGGATAGGTGTAGTGCCTAGAATCTCTCGCTGATAGAGACGGTGTAGGTACTGGAGAATGAGCGGAGCCTCTGATCTTAAGTCTCTCTACACCCCTGGGTGTGACGGAACAGTCTCAAGACCAGGAGTGTCTAGGTCATCCTGAGTTTGTGGTGACGAAAGGTACTTAAGTAGGAACACCAGAGTTCTCAGAAGCCCAGGGGAGCTAGGCAAGGTGCATTGTCAGAGACGAGAAAGGGTCCATAAGGAGTGAGATAAAGGAGAGCCTATATATTTCTAGTCCATCCATGTCCTAAGGGATCTTCCAGAGGAGGGAATCTGCTAGTGACCAGCATCTAAGGGGGGATGAGAGCAGGGGGCATCTACTTTTCCTGGGATTGTACCCAGGTATTGTACGTGTATATGGTAAGCAAGGGCTTTCTTATAGCTTTCTATTGAGCTATGTATTCCCAGCCTATCTCCTGGCTCATTTAAATGAAAGCTTGATGCTGGGAGTGGAAGCCAGGAACTTGAGCCTTCTAGACACACACTCTGCCACCAAGATATTCCTACCCCTAGGTCCTTAGTGCATTTTGGGGCGTGTGTGAATGTGTCTATGTGTGTGTCTGTGTGTGTATCGGCAGGTCTAAGAGTGGGTGGTACTGACAATAGGAGACCCACACTGATTTAGACTGTATGGCTGGGATGCTCATGCAGAGCTCTTAGCTCACTCAGCCCTAAGGCAGCCTTGTAGGGCCTGCACACTGACAGCATTGTGTGCAAGTGGTTGTGCTCATAGCTTTTTAGCCATTCTATGCTTTTTGGGTAATTTTCAGAAGCTAGGAATCCAGACAGCAGAAAGCTGCCACTTCTAAAGGCTTTTAGGTAAAACTGGTTTATAGGTAATGTGTGTATTTATATATATGGTAAGACTAAAGAATACCCAGGGGCTGGAGAGATGGCTCAGAGGTTAAGAGCATTGTCTGCTCTTCCAGAGGTCCTGAGTTCAATTCCCAGCAACCACATGATGGCTCACAACCATCTGTAATGGGGTCTGGTGCCCTCTTCTGGCCTGCAGGCATACACACAGACAGAATATTGTATACATAATAAATAAATAAATAATTAAAAAAAAAAAAGAATACCCAGGACTCTCCTCCTGGGCAGGCTCCATGATAACCTCAGAGAATGCTGCGAGCCCCAGAAACACGCCCAAATCACATGGTACTACCTGTTTCATGCTTCTGCTTCCAACTGTGCCCCTTGATGTGAAGCTCCCTTGTAACCGGCTGTCCCATAGGGAAGATGAGATTCACCTCTGTGTATCTTTCAGGATGCTTAAATGGCAGAGGCCAAGCCCAGACAGAGGACGGCCACACAGACCGTGCACTGCTGCAGCAAATGGAAGGGATCTACTCCGGCATCCCCGTGCGGCCCCCAGAGAGCAGTGCGCATGTGCAGGAGTTGTACCAGGAGTGGCTGGAGGGTACCGAGTCCCCCAAAGTCCAGGAGGTGCTGCACACCACATACCAGAGCTTGGAGCCCCGCACAGATGGCTTGGATATCAAGTGGTGACAGAGCGGGAGGTCAGGAGGGGGCAGCGCCGAGTGGAGAGCGGTGGATGTTTCACGAACAACAGGTCGCTCAGCGGCATGCAGCTTCACGTGGTGCTACCTCTGTAGTGTGTGAGGGAGTGGAATATTTTCACATGGAAAAAGCATTTTTCCTCTCTGAGTATCCTTTTAGCCCAAGATTGTGAGAAAGACCCCAAAGATGAGGCCAGGGACACGCCCCTGTCTTTCAGGGGTCTTGTTTGTTTGTTTGTTTGTTTTGTTTTTTAAAGAATCCAAAATGTATTCATTTTTTGGTTTTTGTTTTTTAAGAAAGGATTTCTCTGTGTAGCCTTGGCTGTCCTAAAACTTGCTCTGTAGACCAAGCTGGCCTCAAACTCCTCACAGAGATCCATTCACCTCTGCCTCCCAAGTGTTAGGATTAAAGACGTGTGCCACCACTGCCCAGCTCCAAGTGCTAGGATTAAAGGTCTGTTCCTCCACCACCCAGCTCAAAATGTGTTCTTAAAGACTCAACCCCCTGGAGTTGTGATCTATGAACCTCAGAGTATTGCTGCGGAAATGGAAGGGCCAGGCTGCTCTGTGGTGGGTAACTATGGTTACACAGGTCCAGTCTTCCTACCCAGTTTGGCTCTTTTACTTGTACACATTTTTGAAAATAATTTTGAATTCTAGGGTCAGCAAGATGGCTTATTGGCAACAACCTTAGTTTGACAATCTCGTGGTAGAAGGAGCGACCACCTGCCGTAAATTATCCTCTGACTTCCACACAGTCACCGAGCCTGTCAGCTTTGAGGTTGATCCTCTTCAGGGAAAAGGCTGATGAGAACAACAGATTCCGCCAAGTGGAACACTTGCTTAACATACATGAGAGCCTGATTTGAATTATTTTAAAATAAATGAGTCGAGAATTAAGACGGTAGCCTACTTACGATTTGGGGTTCTAAGGGAGGTCCAGCTCATCGGTTACCCTCATGGGGCAGGAAGATGCTGGTAGTAAGGGGAAACAGTGTATCCACACAGAGGAGTAGCTGCCCAGAGGTAACCTCTACACAATCACTTGACACATGCCAGAGTTCATCCAGGAGGTGATGCCTGGTGGTTTTGTAAAGCCCTTGGATTTTGCTCATGTGTGTAATTGCCTTGACTCCTCAGTGCTGTTGGCTTTGGTTTGTTTTGTTGCTCCTATGAGACTGTCTAGGAGCATAACTGAGTCTATTCTAAACAGCAGTTCTCAACCTGTGGCTTGCAACTCCCCCCACCCCAGAGGTTGCATTATCGGATATTCTGCACAGCAGATATGTGTATTATGATTCATAACTGTAGCAATATTACAATTATGAATTAGTTGTGGAAATAATTTTATGGTTGGGAATCAGGAGAACATGAGGAACTGTATTAAAGGGTTGCAACCTTAGGAACGTTGAGAACCACTGTTATAAATTATAATTTTTTGCCTTCAGTCCATATGCCTTGGTATCTATCCCTCAAAGTAACTGATTATGGAATAAACAGTGCAGCAGGGTCTGAGTATAGAGCTGAAGGGCCCAGAAGCTGTCCTACCTATCCCACACTACAGCCTGCGGTATGCCCCAGCCCGAGTGATGTTACCTTGTTCCTGAGTCCCTTCCTGATAGGTCAGGAGGATGCCCAGCCAGCTCAGAGCACTTAAAGTCAATGGTGGGAAGGGACTAACTTCCTATCCGTGACAGCAGCTGAGGCTAGGTCTAAGATATGAGATGGCTTCTGTTTTGCTGATGCTAGGTTGTGGCCCTGTGAGCTTTTCAAGACTGCAAATGGCTTTCCGTTCCTCCATCATAATGGAAGCACGAGCAGGGTGGTGGCGACACATGCCTGTAACCCCAGTACTCGGAAGGCAAAGGCAGGTGAATCTCAAGTTCAAGGCCAGCCTGGTCTAAAGAGCAAGTTCCAGGATAGCCAGGGCAACACAGAGAAACCCTGTCTTGAAAAAATCCAGAACAAAAGTGCAAATAGTTTAAGCACAAAATGAGACAAGACCTGGTCAAAGCAGTATGACAGTTGTGGTCAGAGTAGATCTTCTGATGAGTGACTGGTTCCAGCATGACAGTTGTGGTCAGAGTACACGGTGTCTCCTGGTGAGTGACTGGTTCCGGCATGAGGAGACAACATAATTCCAGTTCATATCAACTCAGTATCCTGTTTCACAGTGCCTATGATCTGCACGGCAGAGGACCATTTTCTTAGTTTGTTTCCTACCTGACCTGAGCTGTATTGGTTTATGCCACTGTGGATAACCATGCTTATACACGATGAAATTCTGTCACAAAGACAGCAAACTTGGTTTCTATTACAGGTAATTTAGAAATGGTTCTATCAGGGTGGGAGTCATGGTTCAGGAGCAGACTGTGTGCCTATTGTACCTGGCACTGGGTTCATCCTCTGAAACCACAAAAGCAGAAAGTTGGTGGGGAAAGATTCACTACATTCTTTCTGGTAATGTATACGTGGGATTGCTGTAAGATTTGACCCAGCCTGTGTGCCCTACCCATCACTGGTTGACATCTGGGCTTGCCAGGTGCATCGCAAGTGAGCCAGCTACACAAGTGGCAGTCGCAGCTGGCAGCTAAGCTGCAGGTACTGCCTTGGGTGCAGCACTCATCTGAGAGGCACAGCTGGCTGGAAGGGTAAGGCAGGAATATGGCTTTTCTCCCACTTGGCATACTACATGTGGGTTCCGTTCTGCAGCTACAGAGGGGAAATTACCTGAGGAATTTACTTTGGCTTGGTACAGTCCATTACTGCAGAGAAGAGGCCTCTTACCTCACCTTCCATGAAGCGCAGTATTTCCTGTGGATGTGTCTCCTTGTAAATACTAAGTTGAGATGAATGTGAACCCAGTGCAGTGTGTGTGTGTGTGTCTGTCTGTCTGTCTAGTGCTGGGAATGGAACGCAGGTATGTCATGTGCTAGGCAAAAACTGAGCTGCATCTCACACACACACACACTTACTCTTTTTATTTTGAGACAAGTTCTCAGTAAGTCACCCAAGCCGGCTTTGAACTCACTATGTAGCCTGGGCTGACCTTGCGGGTTAGGCGTGGCCAAGTAGTATGGCGGGTTTGTAGACTTTCTAACAAGTGCCAGGAAAAATCGAGTCGCTGCAGATGCTCAGTGACTCAGAAGCTCAGCTGCTTCTGCCGCTGTAGTTGGGCAGAGCAGAGGGGCAAGGAGCTGTGCTGAGAGGGTACAATCTGCATGGAGGCAGAGGCCTCCGGTGGGGGGGGGGGGGCGCTGGCTCCCAGCGGTCGCCACCCGGGAGGCTCTGATTTGAGGCAGGTATCTGAAAAGCCCCACGTTGGACGCCAAAATGTAGCGGGCGTAAATGAAGGCAGACAGAAATTATAATAATATATTCAGCTTTAATTGGGAAAGAGACTTACAGAACCCGAGTTTCCAGCGGAAAACAGGAAAGCAGAAGGGAAGGGGGAGAGCACACCAGCAATATTTATTAGTAAAAAAATCCCCAGGTGACCCCGCCCTACAAGCAAGGTGATTGGCTGGGGCTACCCCTACAATTTTAATCATCCTACCTCTACTTCCCAAGTGCTAGGGTTATAGATGCAAGCTGCAAGCTACCATAACCTGTTTTTATTTATTTGTTTGTTTGTTTATTTGTTTATTTATTTATTGTTTTTCAAGACAAGGTTTCTCTGTGCAACAGTCCTGGCTCAAACTCGCAGATATCTGCCTACCTCTGCCTCCTGTGTACTAGGATGGATTTAAGCCTGTGCCACCCAGCCCAAACCCTGTTTATACAGTGGAGGGACTGAATCTAGAATTTGAGGATATACTAGGCAGGCTTTCTGATAACTGAGCTATGTCCCCAGCTCTGTTTCTTCTCCTTATCCCTTTCTTGTCCTCCCCTCTGCCCTTTTCTTTCTCCTTCCTTTCCCTTCCCACCCTTCCTTTTACCCCCACCCCTCTGATATCTAATGCTGGCCTTGAACTCTGGCTCAAGGGATCCACTCAGCCAAACAAGTAGATGTCACTACAGATTTACATCACTGCTGGAGAAATTTTAATAGAGAAAGGTCTCAGAATCATACTTTTTCAGCCAGATATGGGGCATACACCTTTGATCACAGCACTTAAAAGGTAAAGGTGGGTGGATCTCTTGAGTTGGAGGCCAGCCTAGTTTACATAGTAAGTCTCAGACTAGCCAGAACTAAATGGTGGAGACACTATCTCAAAAAACAAACCAAAACAAAACAAAAACGAAAAATCCCTTTCCTTCAGCCTTCCTCCCTGCTTCCTTTCTTCCACCTTAAAAAAAAATTTTTAATAATTTGTTTTTATTTTATGTGCATTGGTGTTTTGCCTGTGTATATGTCTGTGTGAGGATGTCGGATCCCCTGGAATTGGAGTTACACAGTTGCGAGCTGCCATGTGGGTGCTGGGAATTGAATCTGGGTTCTCTGGAAGAGTGGCAAGCGCTCTTAACTGCTGAGCCACCTCTCCAGCCCCCCTTTTGTGTTTTTGAGACAGGTATATATATACCTCTATGTCCAGCTAGCCACATTCACATCTCTTCCACCCACTTTCCCTGTCCCTCTCACTGCCTTCCCCTCCGTTCTGTTGTGTTTTGAGATACAGTCACATTTAGGCAAGGCTTGCTTTGAACTCCTGATTCTCCTGCCTCCAGCTCCCAAATGCTGGGGTTACAGGAAAGCCACCGCCCAGTGAGATTTTCCTTCAGATCCTGACAGTAAATTTGGGAATGGCGGTAGCTGGAGAGATTGCTCAGCAGCTAAGTATGCTTGCTACTTTTCTAGAGGACCCAAGTTTGGTTCCCAGGATCCACATCAGGTGACTTAACCACTTTTAACTATGGCTCAAGGGAAACTGATACCTTCTTCTGACCTCTGCAAGTAACCACATGTACCTGGCACACACAAAAAAGTCTTAAACCAGCACTGGAGGCAGAGGCAGGTGGATCTTTGTGGTTCAAGGCCAGCCTGTTTCCAGTGAGTTCCAGGTCTGCCAGAGCTACACGTGGGATGATCTCAAACAACAACAACAAAAACAAAAATAAAAATAAAAACAACAAAAACCAAACCAGGCGATGGCAGTACATTCCTTTAATCCCAGCACTCAGGAGGCAGAGGCAGATAAATCTCAGTTTGAGGTCAGCCTGGTCTACAGAGCGAGTTCCTAGACAGACTCCAAAGCTGCAGAGAAACCCTGTCTCCAAAACAAAAACGAAACAACAAAAAACCCAAAACAAACAAAGATGAAGGCAAAACCCAGAATATTTTTTAAGATTCAGTCTGAGGTGTATATTGTTCAGGTATTTCCCTTGCCTAGCGTTTGCAAAGCCCTAGGCCCATCCTGAGCACCAAGTAAGCAGGCACGAGAAGCAAACGCCTTTATCCCAGCATTCGGGAGGTAGCATTAGAATGAGAGTTCAAGGTCATCCTCAAAACATTCAGTATTTTAGGCCAGCCTGGAGTAGATTGAAAGGAGGAGGAGTAGGAAGCAAACCGTCTCCCATGGTGTCTCACTAATGTCTCTTCCCAGTCACTTCACGTCATTGCCAGGTCTTTATAATGTCAGTCAATTTTAGCCCCTCCATCAGGTGTCAGGATTTTGGGGGTTGGTTGGTTTGTTTTGTCTTTTTTTTTTTTTTTTTTTTGAGACAAGGTTTCCCTGTGTAGCTTTGGAACAAGTCCTGGAACTAGCTCTGTAGACCAGGTTTGCCTTGAACTCACAGATATCTGCCTGCCTCTACCTCCCAAATGCTGGGATTAAAGGCGTATGTCAACACCACCCGGCAGGATTTTTATTTTACATTTGTTTTTGGAGAAAGTATTCCCACCTATTGAGGTGATACTAAACACACTTCTGCCATTTTGTAGCTGTGTATTTATATAAAGCAGTATTCCTAGCAGTGATAATCATAAAATCAAAATTTGCTGGAGTATGCATTAAATTTCAGTACTTGGGATGCAGAGAAAGGTGACTCTGAGTTCCAGGCCAGTCAGGGCTACATAGTGATACCCTGCATACAGATCAAACTGAAAATCATCAAAGATGCTCTATGTCTTGCAGGATCAAACGTTCAGCATATGAAGCAACTGAAAATCATCAAAGATGCTCTGTGTCCTGCAGGATCAAATACTCAGCTGGGTGGGGGTGGGGGTGGGGCTTAGGAAGAATTATATGCGGGTGGATCCTGGGGACTCACTGGTCAGCTAGCCTTGCCCAAAAGGTGAACTCCAGGTTCATTGAGAGACCTTGCCTCACAAAAAGACAAGGAAAATAAACATTGGGGAAGACATCCTGACATCAGTCCATGGTGTCCACACATCCTGCAAGAGAGAAGCATTCACTCATATATATATATATATATATGTATATATATATATATATACACACA